CCGCTCTGGGCAGAGGCCGCGCTGCAGGAGGCACGGCCCGTGGGGCCCTGGTCCCCGAGCAGCCTGGGTCCCGTCTGTCTCACGCTGTGTTTGTCTCGCTGCTTCTCAGCAGGTGGCCACGCATGAGCTGAGCCGAGCCCGCCGGCCGCCCCGGCGCGCGCAGGATGGAGGCCAAAGGCGCCGACGGCTCGCAGACGGACCTCAAGCTGGTGGCGCACCCGCGCGCCAAGAGCAAGGTGTGGAAGTACTTCGGCTTCGACACCAACGCCGAGGGCTGCATCCTGCAGTGGAAGAAGATCTACTGTCGCATCTGCATGGCGCAGATCGCCTACTCGGGGAACACCTCGAACCTGTCCTACCACCTGGAGAAGAACCACCCCGACGAGTTCTGCGAGTTCGTCAAGAGCAACACGGAGCAGATGCGCGAGGCCTTCGCCACGGCCTTCTCCAAGCTCAAGCCCGAGGCCGCGCAGACGGCCGCCCAGGACCCGCTGGGCGCCAAGGCCGGCCACGGCCACGGCCACGGCCACGGCCAGGAGAGCAAGCGGCAGCAGGAGCTGACGGCCGCCGTGCTGGGCCTCATCTGCGACGGGCTGTACCCCGCGTCCATCGTGGACGAGCCCACCTTCCGGCTGCTGCTCAAGACCGCGGAGCCGCGCTACGAGCTGCCCAGCCGCAAGTTCGTGTGCGGCAAGGCCATCCCCGAGCGGTACGCGGCCGTGCGCGACGCGGTGCTCAAGGACCTGGCCGAGGCCGCGTGGTGCGGCGTCTCCACCGACCTGTGGCGCAGCGAGAACCAGAACCGCACGTACGTGACGCTGGCCGCGCACTTCTTGGCGGGCGGGCCGCCCGGCTGCCTGAGCGCGGGCTCGCGCTGCCTGAAGACGTTCGAGGTGCCGGAGGAGCACGCGGCCGAGACCATCACCAGGGTCCTCTACGAGGCCTTCATCGAGTGGGGCCTCAGCTCCAAGGTGTTCGGCGCCACCACGGACGGCGGCAAGGACATGGCCAAGGCCTGCTCGCTGCTGGACGTGTCGGTGCAGATGCCGTGCCTGGCGCACACGTTCGACGCCGCCATCCGCCAGGCCTTCCAGCTGCCCCGGCTGGGCGCGCTGCTGGCGCGCTGCGGCCGGCTGGTGGAGTACTTCCAGCAGTCGCCCGTGGCCATGTGCATGCTCTACGAGCGGCAGAAGCAGGAGGGCGCGGCGCCCTGCATGTTGCTTAGCAACCGCGTGGGCTGGTGGGGCAGCACGCTGGCCATGCTGCGCAGGCTCAAGGAGCAGCAGTTCGTCGTGGCGGCCGTGCTGGTGGAGGACAGCAACAACCACCACCTCATGCTGGAGGCCGGCGAGTGGGCCACCATCGAGGCGCTGGTGGAGCTGCTGCAGCCCTTCCGCCAGGTGGCCGACATGCTGTCCGCCTCGCGGCCGCCGACCATCAGCATGGTGAAGCCGCTGCTGCACATGCTGCTCAGCAGCACGCTGGCCATCAAGGAGGCCGACTCCAAGGAGATCAGCATGGCCAAGGAGGTCATCGCCAAGGAGCTCGCCGCCACCTACCAGGAGGCGCCGGAGATCGACCTGTTCCTCAATGTGGCCACCTTCCTGGACCCGCGCTACAAGCGCCTGCCCTTCCTGTCCACCTTCGAGCGGCAGCAGGTGGAGAGCCGCGTGCTGGACGAGGCCAAGGGCCTGCTGGACAAGGTGAAGAACGCCGGCTACCGGCCGCCCGAGGACGGGGCGTTCGCGCTGCCCGAGGAGCCGCCGGCGAAGAAGTCGCTGCTGCCGTCCACGCCGCCGCCCGCCAGCGTCATCAACAACATGCTGGCCGAGATCTTCTGCCCGTCGGGCGGCGTGGAGGACCAGGACGAGTGGCAGGCGCAGGTGCTGGAGGAGCTCAGCAACTTCAAGTCGCAGAAGGTGCTGGGCCTCAACGACGACCCGCTCAAGTGGTGGTCGGACCGCCTGGCGCTGTTCCCCGTGCTCCCGCAGGTGCTGCGCAAGTACTGGTGCGTGGCCGCCACGCGCGCCGGCCCCAGCGCAGGTCCGAGGAGCTCAGCAACTTCAAGTCGCAGAAGGTGCTGGGCCTCAACGACGACCCGCTCAAGTGGTGGTCGGACCGCCTGGCGCTGTTCCCCGTGCTCCCGCAGGTGCTGCGCAAGTACTGGTGCGTGGCCGCGACAC